ACACGATTATTAATTATCTTATTAAGCGTGATTACAAGTACCCATTCCCTTTAAACATGCATAAAAGGTGTGATCAAGCAATAACAATAAAATATAATCGAGCAACATAATTATCATCATAAAAATCATAATAATAAATCATAACCATGTTAAAGCATAATAATAATAGTAAGATCCTAGGCATGATACTAACAAGATTATTAATAAGCCCTAGCATGTCACTAGAAAATAAAAATTAAAGCTTTAACCCTAACATGATACTAACAATCATATATATTAGGAAGAACTTAGGAAGCATAATACTTTTAATCATACTTGATATTAAATTTACCCTAGATTTGTTACTAAGAAGATCAAAACACCCTAACATAACAATAGGAATCATAATAACAACCTAAGCATGATTTCTACATAATAACATCAATAAAAACCATTAAAGCACTTACTTGGATGCCTCGCACCTCTTTCTAATAACAAAATACACACGTTAGTAACTTCAAGGAAAATAATAATTAAAACAATTAAATTAAATAATTGAAATAGAGATTTGGGACCAAACCCTCAGAAATTAAACCTTTCACGTCTAGGGCGAAGGCAACTTCGAATATGGCAAGGTGTTTCTAGTGCTAATGTATGAGGAATGGTGTTTGTAAAAGGGTAGTTTAGAAAGAGGGAGAGAATCAAGAAATTCTTGATGAGAGTTGGTTAAAATTGGTGATAATTGGTGAATGAAAACGGATTTTTTAGAAGACTATCAATAGAGATAATCATCCAAAAAGATAAAAAATCAAAATAGAGTTCTGACACAGATAAAACTTGATTAGCGCCAACACCGGCAATTGGCGCCAAACGCTAACATTAGCGCCAGGCGCTAATGCCTGGCGTTAGGCGCTAATCCTATTTTTGATGCGTTTTCTAAAATCAGAAAGAATTTGACCGTACGGGAGGATAAAATCGTATTTCCCTCAAAAACATTCATTTGTTCTGATTAAAACTCTAAAAAGTCAACAAAAGTCAATTTATTAATGCTAATTGAATTAGGAATGAAAAGAACCTTCTAGAAGAATCTAGAAGACTAAAACCATTCCTAATTGCATTAGGAATGATAAATCTATATTAGGCCCTGCTCTAGATCATTGGGCCGCATATAAGGCTCAAACCGGCCCAGTTCAGTAATTTGGCCATAACTTGCTCAATATTCATCGGAATTGGGCTTATAATATATCGTTGGAAAGCTCTTTTCAAGCTCTATCCAACTACACTATTATTTGACCTATATTAGGACCAACCAAACTGGATTGACTGTTTTCTTAAAATAGATTTTCAAAAACATATAGAAGAGAAAAGAAACTAAAACTATCCGCAACACTAAACTTTCCACACTTTCACTTCATTCGATTATGATTCGACGTGAAACTTTCTTATCAGTGGGTTTGGTTTTGGGGAGACACAAATCGGTGTCTACACTACCATGTCCCAGTAGAAGTGGAGGGAAAGGTCCTCCTGACCATATCCACTCTGCCGGGTTGGAGGAAACCAGAATCGTCGGAACTAAACTGAAAATTATCTCCATCTAAAGCACAACACATCGGATGTATATTTATATTTATAAAATATATATCTAGGTAAATATATATATATATATATGTATATTATATATATATACATATATATATATGTATATATGTATATATATATATATATATACATATATATATATACATATATATATATATATACATATACATATATACATATATACATATATACATATGTATATATGTATATATATAATTAAGGGATGAACTAGAATTATGTTTGTACCCCTTTAGCCGCCGCGTATTCCAGCCTCAAGTGCTAGAGGCGCTCCAAGTTGAATTCGTTCATGTCCACCTTTCCCTTCTGTGTGGGGTTGAGTTGAAACATGGCTTGTTCTGCCAGAAAGTAGAGCACAATGTTAACTTATGTTCCAAGTTAAAATATGTTTGAGTGCGCATGTCATGAAAGTCCACCTGGAGTGTAGTTTCGGAGTATGCGCAATGAGGACATGAACCTCGGATCTCTTATCCAGTTTACTCAGGGAATCCATTTTAGAATGACATATACTCGTCGACCCCCTTGTTACACCTTCTTCCTTGAAATAGTGATTTTGATGGACATGGTCTAGATGGACTGGAGGGCGGGTCGATTGGTGATCCCCTCATCCGAGCTGAACAAGTGAAGATTTAAAGTTGTTCATCTTTCTGTTAAAATTTCAGTCCTTGCTCCAGACAATCTAAAACCGCTGCTTCCTGTTGCGCCATTTTAAGGGCTTATAAAGGACCATCATATATTTCGGACGGGTGTTTAGAATGAACCATCCGTTAGAGCCTGCTTTCAGCCGCACCATGTTGTTCATCATGTAGAAGACTGGGAAGTTGGGTGCATCCTTTCCTAAGGCACGTCACCAAGTATCCAAAAATAATTGCCTAGTTGTTCAGCGCCAGCTGGAACAAGAAAATTTGGTATTTTTCCATCAGCTCCTGGATGAATGGATGAAGAGGAAATCGAAGGCCTACCTCCAAGGCATCCCGATAATCATTGAAGCCCCAGCGAGTAACGACCCGGTCATCAGAACCGGCCACCGCGAGCTTGAAGTTCTTGGTGGCCGGATCCTGAACACTTCCCCCAGTTTGAGAAACCTCTGAAAGTCCTCGAATTTGTCATTAGGGAAACCTAGGGTCGTTTCCCTTAATTCACAATCAAACAGGCTGCTTAAGTCATTATCTTCCGCCGTAACCGTGGCGTCAAGGTTTTCATATCTTTGTTAAGCTAGTTGTGGTTCAGGGTCCCTTACCCAAACCAAAGTCAACATAAAGAACTTTGTCCAACTTAGCTGCTTCCTCTAACCAAGCCCTACCTTGGCTCGGCCACCACCACTTCTTCAGGCACTAAGGGGGACTTGCTCTTGTCTTTATTTTCCCCCTAACTCTTGTGATTTCCAAATTGAGCATTAGGGGGGCGGTCGACCGTCTCAGCAATATGAATGTCAGTTCTAGGCCTAGCTGACCCGGTATGTTGAAAGGGGGATATGGCTAATTTTAGGCAGATAGAATAGTGCTCGATTGAGATGAAGATCGATGCCTCTCAGAAGAAGGCAACTCAGACAACATTAAGACCGTGTTAGTATATTATGTTGGGGGTTGATCCGGGTATTGCCCGAACATAGAACTCCCTAGCTAATTTTGGCACTCCTCAATAAAGTTAATCACTACGATTACCGAGCATGCACTACCACTAGTAGTGGTGGTTGTGTTTGTGTTTGTGGTCTCCCCATCCGTGTTGTTCGAATCATGAGAGGTTAGGGGTTATACTGTCTTGCTGTCCGAATTCCTTGCAGCATATCGCTCGTACATTTGCCTCATATGCACCATGTTTGACTACAGGAACATACAAGAATATGTGGGGTGAGTTAGATGCACTAGAAATGGACCGGCTCCATAAAGACGAGGACTCAACCCCGTCCACTCTAGATTCCTCAGTCCCGGGCGAATATCCAGCCTCATTAGGAGAAATGAACGAGGTCGATTGTTGAGCTAGTATATGTTTGAAAATAAAACCAGTATAAAAAGGATAAAAGAAAAGGAAAGCAGTTGGTTACTATAGGGAATATTTCAAGAACTACCGTAGGGAATATTTCAAGCATTACCCCAAACATGAACCCCACTGTGATCATACACTTAAGCATGGTGGCGTCCAAAGGAAAGGAAGCTAGATCAAAAGAGTTTCCAACAAGTTTTAGGAACTTGTAAACCGTTCACAGGGTGAAGGTTACACCCCTTAACGATCCAGGAGATCGTTAACTCCAATAGGTCTGGAACCAAGACTGGAAGTTTAGGGATGAAGGTACAAATCCAATCTAAAAGAGAAAGAACTTTCCCTAATAATAGGCCTCTACTTTATTATTCTCGTATTCATGTTCGTTTTCTAACTAACACACACTCATTAGGTTTAACCCTAAACCTGTTTATCTATGTTGGTTGAATTTAATGCACAAACAAAACTATTATTGGCGATCACTTGAATTATAATCATATTAACCCTAAACAAGATAATTAATTATCTTATTAAGCGTGATTACAAGTACAAAAATTCCCTTTAAACATGCATAAAAGGTGTGATCAAGCAATAACAATAAATAATTCAAGCAACAATAATCATCATAAAAAAAATTAAAATAATTTTAATCATAATAATCATCATCATAATAAAGAATAATAATATTAATAGCAAGATCCTAGGCATGGTACTAACAAGATTAATAACAAACCCTAGCATGCCACTAAACAATAAAGATCAAATATTTAGCCCTAACATGATACTAACATGTTATTAAGAAAGAAAATAAGATGCGTCGCAGGAATCATAATAAGCATATTTGATATTATAACCCTTTCCCTAAATATGATACCAGGAATCATGGAGCATCATAACATGATAATAGGAATCATAATAACAACCTAGACATGATTTATTTCTATTTCATAATATCAATGCAAACAATTAAAGCACTTACTTGCATTACTAGAATTTCCGTGCTTTTTAGGCTTATTTTCGACGCATTAAAGCGTCGCAAAATTCTTTCTCGAAGCTTTAAAAAACCGTCAAAAAAACGTGAGTCGAGAAAAATACGTGTCACCAAAAAGCGTCGACAATTCAGACGCTTTTTCGTGTCTAAATCTTTATACGAAGCGTCGAAATTTGCAACATTTGGCGCACTTTATAAAAATTAGTGACGCTTTTTCTTGTCCCAAATTATTAAATTGGCGACCTTTTTTTTTGTCCATAGTTACATATATTTATCGACACTTTTTTCTGTCCATTTATTCTGATTAAGATTCTCTATTTCAAGCCTATTATAAAAAGATCTAGTGTAGAGAATATTTTTTCCACTAGAAAAAAATTCAATTTATTCTACTAGTATCACCAAAAAGGAACGTATACATATATATGCTTTAAAATTATGCCAAAAATTAATTGTATTATTGCACATAAATTTTTTTGTACAATATTTCATAGTAATGAGTTTTCTATTACAACTGTTATAATTCTGACTTGTGCTCATTCATAACTAATTGAGAACCTTGTTTTAGCTTAGAAAACCCCATGAACAGTAGCAAGCATAGGAAGCAACTAAAGTTAAGCAGAGGAAGTAACAGCAGCGTCAAGCATAGGCGGTGGCAGCAGCATGTAGCCATGTTAAGCATAGGCAGCAACATCGTCCAGCAGTATCAATAGCAGCAATGATTTGTTTTGCCACAAGGGATTGGTGAACAAAGTTGTCAAAATTGTTTGGAAATTCATGATCTATAACCTGTGGAAAAAAAGGTACTTCGGCAAACCAAACAAACATATTTAAAATGCATTAGGGAAATCAATAAAGACATCACAGTCAATACATGTTATCATTAAATTACACAGCTCAGAGAAGATAAAGTAGTACAAACCTTGCTGTCTATACGCAAGGGACAAACTGCACAAGGAAATCACTAATTAGAATCAGGTCAACATTACCAATTTTAATAGCAAATAAACTCCAAAAATTCTGAAATTTTAAAGGCAGAAAAACACACAAATTCAAAAAAAGAATCACCTAAAAACCTTCTCTAACGAAGGAGAACAAGCCAAACAAAGTCAGCACTCACAGCAACTCCTACGAAAAATCAATCGATTGTGGTGGAATTGTGATACGAAAAACAATGCTATCATGCTCATTCAAACAAATGAAACAAAAAGGCTAATTTTTAGGATTGAATTAAACCAGAAGCACAAAATGAAACATAAAAGAAACAATAAAATCTAAATTACTCATGAAGCTAACCCATATCTAAACATATTCTGTCAAATTATTGAAAAAAAACATTAAAAAACAAAATTGGGTCAAGATCTATTAATTGATTCAAGGAGAAAGGATGCACCTTAAAATTGTCGATCCGCACTCAGATGGACGACATAAATTATAATTTTGGGTCATGATCCATAAATTGATTCAACGATAGATGAAGATCTTAATTTTAAATTGATGTACATAAATTTGAAATTAAATCCGAGAAGAAAAGATCTGAAATTGAAATTGATGTACCTCAATTCGAAGAATCTGATTCACAAAATGATATTCCTCATATTGAAGTTACTCCGAGAAAAACAAAGATCTGAGTTTGAAAACAATGGTTCCATAAGTGTGTTGAAAGAGAGAGAGTGAGTTGAGTTTTTTGTTATTGTGTTTGTGTTCGACGGTTTCATTTTCCCTAAATTTTGCAATCGAGGGTTTTTGCAGTCACGTGTGGGGCATGTGTAATGATTCTAGACGCTTTATCACGCCGAAAATTAATTTCGACCCAGAAAAGCGTCGAGATAATACGCACATTATATATTAATAGTTGACGCTGCTTGCCTAGCGTCGAAGGTTCAGCGTCGAGAAAATGCTCTTTTTGTAGTAGTGTTGGATGCCTCGTACCTCTTTCTAATAACAAAATACACACGTTAGTAACTTCAAGGAAAATAATAAACAACAATGAAATTAAATAATTGAAAGAGAGATTTGGGACCAAACCCCCAGAAATTAAAACCTTTCACGTCTAGGGCGAAGACAACTTTGAACTTGGCTACGAGTCTCTAGATCTTGTGAATGCGGAATTTTGTAAGCGGAAAGCTTGTTTAGAAAAGAGAGAGAGAGAGAGAGAGAGTAGATATCAAGAGATTCATAAAAACTAGAGTGAATAAGAAAATTGATAGTTGTTGATGATTGAAAACGGAGGATTAGGAGACTATTTATAGAGAAAATCAGCCGGATGGATAGAAAAACAAATCAGAGTTTCTAAGAGAATAAAACGACTTAGCACCAGACGTCAGACATTAGTGCCAGGCGCTAAGGCTAGCGCCAGACGCCAAGCATTAGCGCCAGGCGCTAATCTTGTCGTCAGGCGCTAGAAACCAGTTTCATGCATTTTCTTAATTTGATAAAATAGAGCCATCATATTTTTGCCTAGGATCTAAAATAGAGCAAAAATATAAATCATAGGAATATCAGTGTAATATTTACGCCATTTTCCCTCCATTGGATGTATCTAAATCTTGTGAATACGGAATTTTGTTTGCAAAAACTAGGTTTAAAAAGAGAGAGAAGGGATATCAAGAATTTCATGATGAGAGTTGGTGATTAAAAATGAAGGTGTAAGTACGCTATTTATAATGAAATAGTCCGAATTTCATAAAAACGAATTAGATTTTGAAAAGGAATAAAACACGTCGTTGTCGCCAACAACAGCTCCTGTCGCCGCGTAACAGGGTCTGTCGCTAGGCGACAACCTGACGTTCGGCGTTGCAGGAGATTTTTTTACGCGTTTTTTTTTTTTTGATAAAATTAAGTCGTAAAAGTCCGAACGAAGGGTAAAATAGTAATTTTATGTAAAACACTTCTTTTATCCAAATAAACTCATAAAACTTAATTTTCAATCCTAATCACATTAGGATTAAAGGAACCTTCTAGAATATTCTAGAAGACTATAATCAATCCTAATTGCATTAGGAATGATAATTCATAGTAGACCCTCCTTTAGTTAATTGGGTCAGAGAATGATTCAGAACGTTCTGTGATCCTTGTTATTGACCAAACTAAACTGGATTGACTTCAAATCGGGCCCATTTTAGTAATTTGGCCAAAACTTCCTCATTATTCATCGAAATTGGGCTTATAATATATATCGTTAGAAAGCTCTTTTCAAGCCCTACCCAACTACACTATTATTGGACCCTTGTTATTGACCAAACTAAATTGGATTGTTTATTTTCATAAAATAGAATAGGTTTTCGTAAACAGAAAGGGAGATTTTTAATAAAAACAAACCTCAACATTAGACTTTCCACACATTAACTTCATTCGATTATGGTTCGACGTGAAAGGTATTCATCACCGGGTTTAGTTTTGGGGAGACACAAATGGGTGTCTACAAAAGCCCCCACTTTGACTGAATTTGGAGGAACGCAAGTTTCGAAAACAAAAGTCAAAGTATCGATAGGGACGGAGAATGATTCTAAACATTCTACGATCCTAAATCATTCTTGTAACGCTGGAAACTATCGTTGGATAAAATAGATAAGAGAGTTAAGAAACGTGTATCTTGCACCATCGAGCACACGTCTCTGTAGGTAACTGATTTGTTGCTGTGACAACCTTCCACAACCTAGGGAACGCTATCCTGCTGTTTTGACGATCTTCCTCAAGCTAGGGGATACCTCTTGAAGACTGTTACGCTTGTAACCGCATCCATTTCCGCTATGATAGTCTTTTGCAAGCTAGAGAACACTATCGAAGATTACTTCGCTCGAAATGATCTTCTACCGCTTTGTGACCATCTTCCACAAGCCAGGGAATATGATCGAAGATAACTTCGCTTGAAATCACCTCTAGTTTTTAGTGACAACCCTCAGCAAGCTAGGGAACACTGCCGAATACATCTTCACTTGAAGTTATCCTCATCTATTGAGATAATATTTCGAAGAATATCAACGAAGATCAACGCTTGTCGATCCTTTAAAGTTTGCTTGAACTTTGCCTTTTCTATGCCAGTGCGTCGGTGCTTTTGCTGCTTGTGAACCAGTATGTCAGTGCTTCTGTTGTTTATGAACCATTATGTTGGTGCCTTTGCAATGAGCCAATGTTTAGGCGCTTTAAGCTAAGTGAGACGATCATTTAACAGGTCGATCACTTAATATGATTGTAACCGAGCTTATTACTAAATCATGTTAAGTTGCTTAGAGGAGCTAACTTGCGTACCAAGGAACCCAAACTGCTGTACGAGGTCCAAATAATCATTTTACAAAGCCTCACGCTCTGTCGCCGCTCTAGCAACTGCCGGAAGTTAATGTCACCGTAATTTCTTTCTGTCACACGGCGAAAACCTCTGTTGCGCGGCGCTGCTTTCGGGATTTTTGAATAAATCTCCTTTCTTCCTCATTTCGCTGTTGCTGCTGTTTTTCGTTCGCGAATTGCCTCAAGCTTCAATCTACTCGTTCTTGCTCATTTCTCAACAAAATTTGCTCAAACGTTTTGCAAATCGAAGCTTAGTTCATCTAGTTTGCCGATCTATGTAAGTTTTCTCCAAACTCGCTCGAATTTTGCTGAATTTTGACAAGTTAATTCACGATTTTTCTAGAAATTCAACTATATATTGCTTAATTTGCTTTGCTTGTCGAATTTTATGCCATGAAATTGCTTGATTATATTTATATATTGTCTTAGGAGTATTTTGAGACATGTTTAACTCAATTTGGTGGAGAAATGAACAATTCACCATTGTTGAACCCCTTAAGGTTACAAGAATAATGTAAGTTGTTCTTCGCGTTTTTGCTAGCTATTCTTGTCCAATTTGTCACAATAATTATCATAATATTGCAATAAATTTTTAGATTGCTTGAAAAATGCCATATATGCTTGAATTGAAATCGTGCTCTATTTTAGTACTACCTACTCTATTTCTTGCGAACATAGTATCATGCGGCTAGGGAAACCTTAGATACTTTAAAACCTTAATTTTTGTCATTTTACATAATTTAGCATGGATGGACAACGTGGTCTTGTTCCCAGTCTCAAGACACTCGACGAGAGCACGAGCCCGTGGTTGAGCACGAACCTTGTTTTTTGCTCCCGAGCCCACATTTCTGAGCGAGTGCGTCGCGGGATTACTAGCGGGAGGACGCGTAGCCACAGTTTGGCCAACGAGTCCATCGGCAATCTTTACAACAAGTATTTCCGCAACGATGAGGAGTTGCGACGGCTTTGGGAGTCTTGTGGGCTGACTGCCCTGTTTCGGGCTACTTAGGTCATGTACTCGTTTGACGTGAGCCACCACGTGATTCGGGCTTAGGTGGAGTTCTTCTAGGATAGCACCAACACTTTTCACTTTCCCTGGGGTGAGATGACAGTCACCCCTGTCAACTTCAGTCTCATCTCGGGACTAGAGTTCCGCTCATCTACACTACCATTGGACAATACTATTTCTGTCCTTTCTGCGATAGTCGAGGAGCTATTAGGTCCAATCACTGTTTGGGCCCGTGCCGAGGTGGAGCCAACAAGACTCAGCGCTCGGTGCATTCGCCGGTCATCTCTAGCGATGGCTTTCAAGGATGATGCGATCACTAGAGAGCAGCAGGTACGCATCTTTGTTATTATCTTGTTGTCAAGGACCTTTTCCCCTGACAAAGGTAGTTAGGTACTTCTCTACTACCTTCCTGCTCTCCGCAACCTTCAGCTGGTCGGGACCTATGAATGGGGCAGCTTGGCTTATGTTGATTTCTTGCGGGGTTTGCGAGGCTCTTGTCGTTACACAGCCTTTATAGGGAACATCACACTCTCCAGCTTCTGGAGAATCATAGAGGTATTCTTTATCTCTTTAAAAGTTAGCTCTAGATTCTTATTAGTGTAAGGAGGGTGGTCCCATTGTAAGGACTTTACACTTGTTAGGGTGCATTAGGATTTGAATTCCTGACTATTTGGGAGACCTTGAATTAGAAATGATTCTATCATACACGCTTTTTTGTAAGAAACAGGTAGGAGTCACCAATGAGTTTTAGGAAAACCCATAAACCTCGTTCATGCCTTATTCCCAAGTAGAGTTCAAGGGATACTTAGCATGAATTATAAGTTTACCCATGCTCAAATTGGTCTACATAAACCAGAAATGAGTTCGGGAGCGAGGGTACCAAGATAACGTTCCATTTAGAGAGGAATCGCGATCCTAGCCCTAGTGCGGCCTCTACTAGCTCTTCCTTAGCACAATTTCATCACAAAAAAATATATGCAACGTGATACCTAAAACTAAGTTAGTTTATTTTATTTACACGCATTAATCATGTAGGAATTACATTGCAAAATTCGTTATTCTTAATTAATCAAATTCGTGAAGAGAACAAGAAATAAACAATATTCGCCTTGTCTTAAGTGATAAAACAATAATTAATTATTCAGATTCTAGTCTTGATTAACGAAAGAGTACTATAAGAATTAATTGATTAAAAGTTTGTTTAAAGTGATCAAACAACACTAATTAATCAATTAAAGTTGTTTAAACAATAAAAGAAAAGTGATTTATCATAGTGCTCAGGAAACTAACCGTTCTTCTATGTATGCTTAAATCTCCGTCTTAGATGATTATGGACCTTCTTTCTACTTTGTACCTCCAAGGGCTTTAATGGATGGATTAGGGTTGAAGAGTAGTTGGGA